ACCACATGTAGGGTCATTGCCAACTTTACGATATAACTCTTGTAATTCAGGTGACATCCTTCGCTTCTCCTCTTCACATAGCAATGCTAACAAATCTTCTTTTGTGGTTGGAAGTTTCGGAGTAACAGCAACAGAGCGTTTATGAATATTTGTCTGTACAATCTTTTTTTTGAAAGATTTTATGAGGTTTAGCAAATTGGGTAATGGAATACAACATGAGCTATTATCATTTTTATCTGTAGAAGAAAAATGGATTATAATTAATAAATAGTTGCATTTTTCAGAAAAAAACTTAATAACTGATTTTGCCATAATATACCATTATGAATTTCATCTTGTGGAGGTTCTTCAGTTTGGGAAAGTGTGCGTTCTTGTTGACATTCTTCGGTCTGAGGAAGTGTAAGTTCTTCAGGTTGAGAAAGTGGTGGTAATTCATCGAATCCTGTGCGGCCACTAGTTTCATGAAACATTCCACCACGTAGTCTAAGTACCAGATGCAATGTAGATTCTTTTTGGATATTATAGTCTGACAAGGTACGCCCATCTTCCAATTGCTTGCCAGCAAAAATCAAGCGTTGTTGGTCAGGAGGAATACCTTCTTTATCTTGTATCTTTTGTTTAACTTGGTCAATTGTATCGCTTGATTCTACCTCTAAAGTTATCCTTTTTCCGGTCAATGTTTTCACGAAAATTTGCATTATGGGCTTCGTTTAATATTTAATTGAATTGATTGTATTTAAAGTTCAGCAATTTTATTATTAAGGATTTCTCTATTGAATTTATCATTGATAAGTTAATCTAAATCGTCTTTGTAATTGAATTCAGTCTCATAAATATTTATAAATATAATATACTTACATGGACTCAAGCGTTAATCTTTATTATTGTTCGTAGATATTAATATTCAAATTCAAGTCCGTAGTCCGAAATACTTGTCAAAAAAAAGAATTAAGGATGTTCGGTGGTACAGTATTCTAATTGGCTATTTGGCAAGGATGATAATTTAAAGTCCGAATAGCGATAGATAAATCTGCATTTCAATATATCCAGAACATAATTATCACCTGTTTTTAATGAAAGCTTTTACTATCCCTACTATTTGCTTGTAAACTCTGTGCAATTTAAACATTTAATTTTTTAGAGTTCAAAATCAACTAGTCTTGGATTTTTATATCCGATCATTAACTACCCGATGAATATTGAAATAAATTTTAAATAATATTCTGCCAATAGATTA